AGAGGAGCCGCCGACAGCCACGTGAGCCTGAACCTAGAGAGGAAGAGAGGAGCCGCCGACAGCCACGTGAGCCTGAACCTAGAGAGGAAGAGAGGAGCCGCCGACAGCCACGTGAGCCTGAACCTAGAGAGGATGAGAGGAGCCGCCGACAGCCACGTGAGCCTGAACCTAGAGAGGATGAGGGGAGCCGCCGACAGCCACGTGAGCCTGAACCTAGAGAGGATGAGGGGAGCCGCCGACAGCCACGTGAGCCTGAACCTAGAGAAGGTGAGAGGTGCAGCATTCAGTCACAGACACCTGAGCCACCACATGAGGAGGGGAATTTGCCTCCGTCTAGTGAGCCTGTAGAGAATGAGGGGACCCTGCGTGAGCCGCATGATCCTGAATCAACAGATGATTCCAGGAGATGCCCTGCAACACATGAGCCTCCACCCACTGGCGATGAGGGAAGCCAGCTTCAGCCCAGGGAGAGCGCAGCACCAGGGGATGAGGGCAACCCCCAGAAGACAAGTGAATCTGAACCTAGGGAGGATGACGGCAGCCAGCCTCAGCTCTGTGAACCAGAACAGAAGGAGGGCGATGGGGTCCTCAGGCAGACACCAGAGTCTCAGCCGCTAGAAGAGGTGGAGAGCCAGGAACAGCCACGTGGCCCGGAACCACGAACAGAAGGGAGCCGCCATCAGCCGCCACAAGGGGGAGAAGCGAGCCACCTCCAACCAGACATTGAACCTCAACAGGGCGACGGGAGCCGCCATCGGCCAAGGGACCCTCAAGAAGAGCGTGAGAGGAGCAGCCACCAGGCCAGGGAGCCTCTTCCACGGCTGGGAGAGGAACCCGAAGAAGGTGAATGGAGCCAGAGCCATCCTGAGCCTGCAAACGCAGAGGAGGAGCCGGGTGAGACAGATCCGGATGATGTCAAGGCCTCGCTGCCTTGCAATCCACTCTATGTCTATCTGCTGGAGCAGACGGTGGAGAAGCAGCTTTACCTAGCACCACCGCACCAGGACCACCCATAGTGTGGAAAATGCGGTGGCGCCCACTTTCTCCAGTGGAAGGTGTGGGCTTCTGTCCATCAGCCTTTCCGGCGAAGCTTCCAACACCTCATCCCTACACCTTTCTTCTAGTCTTTTCGGGATTCCTTATAGACTCAGGTGCATGTGAGCATGTTAGCAAGTACTGGCACAAATGTGTCCAATACAAGGGGCTAGGGGGTGCTTTGCCCTTGGGTGAAATCCCCACTTGGTTTCACATAGGTCTTGGGCTTCACAGGCTGAGAAACAAAAGTGAGTGAGTTTGGTGCCTGAATGGCTAGAATAAAGAGTAGTCCAGGCTCTTACTAGCCACCTTTCTACTGTATCTACTCGAGCATAACTACCTAACTACTGTCTCTAGGTGTCCACTCTATGTATCTCTCTCTCTACAAACACACTTGTCATCTGTCTATCTATCCATACATTTGTCCATTGTGTCTATATCATATCTACCGCCCTATGTGGTCTACTTATTTATTGGATCTATTGGGTCTTTGTGTCTATCTGTCTGTGTGCTTATGCTGCACTCATCGCTGTGGTCCTGTGTCTGAATAGCCTGTTTGTTAACTGCTGTCGTGCAACACAAAAACCTGTATGTATCTTTCCATCTAACTTGCTGGGTCCTGTAGGAGATTGGAGACCATTTCAGTTGGGAAAATGCAGGTTGAAATGCAGGTCTCGGAAAACCACCATTCTGGGAGCATTTAGTTACAGCCCTGCACAACCACTGGCTGAGCGAAACCTCGGCTTCACTCTCCCGCAAGCCTTGAGGCAGATGAGTAGCACTGGGGTATCTAGAGGGGTCTCTTTTTCTCATGGTTGTATTGCATGAAAAGTCACAATAAATGGCAACTGAGTTCACTGGCTTTGTCTTTGGACCTTGTTTCTTGTTGCCCCAAAGGACAATGCACGGGGAAGGTTTTGTCACTACATCGAAGCTCACACGTACCATTTAAGAGCAGCCCCCCCAGGACTCTGTTGGTGCCACCACAATAATGTGTGTGTGTGTGTGTGTGTGTGTGTGTGTGTGTGTGTGTGTGTGTGTGAACTTATGATGGAAATGATCCGTTCAGCCAGCAGATGGGGCTGTGACTTAACAACATGAGGGAAGAGGCAAGGACGGATCACCATGCTCTGTCTTTGTGAGTTTGTCTGAAACTTGATCTGGGTTTTCAAATCCGAACCTGCCCCTTTCCCCGCCATCTCTCCCTGCATTCAGAAAAAATCACGGTAGGAACAATGGATCTGGAATGATCAAATCTCACACTTCAGGGTGTGACTTGGCTACCCCCCCTGGCATGTAGGACTCCTAGCTCACCCACCCATGTATCGCACGGGCACCCACCCACCAAGGGTGGAGGGGTTGCAAGTGCTTTGGAGGATAGGATTAAAATTCAAAATGATCTGGACAAACTGGAGAAATGGTCTGAAGTAAATAGGATGAAATTCAATAAGGACAAATGCCAAGTACTCCGCTTAGGAAGGAACATTCAATTGCGCACATACAAAATGGGAAATGACTGCCTAGGAAGCAGTACTGAGGAAAGGGATCTGGGGGTCATAGTGGATCACAAGCTAAATATATGAGTCAACAGTGTAACGCTGTTGCAAAAAAAAGCGAACATCATTCTGGGATGTATTAGCAGGAGTGTTGTAACCAAGACACGAGAAGTCATTCTTCCACTCCACTCCATGCTGATTAGGCCTCAGCTGGAGTATTGTGTCCAGTTCTGGGCACCACATTTCAGGAAAGATGTGGACAAATCGGAGCAAGTCCAGAAAAGAGCAACAAAATTTATTAAAGGTCTAGAAAACATGACCTATGAGGGAAGATTGAAAAAATTGGGTTTGTTTAGTCTGGAGAAGAGAAGACTGAGAGGGGACATGATAGCAGTTTTCAAGTAAATAAAAGGTTGATACAAGAAGGAGGGAGAAAAATTGTTCTTCTGAACCTCTGAGGATAGGACAAGAAGCAATGGGCTTAAATTGCAGCAAGGGCGGTTTAGGTTGGACATTAGGAAAAACTTCCTGTCAGGGTTGTTAAGCACTGGAATAAATTGCCTAGGGAGGTTGCAGAATCTCCATCATTGGGGATTTTTAAGAGCAGGTTGGACAAACACCTGTCAGGGATGGTCTAGATAATACTTAGTGCTGCCTGAGTGCAGGGGACTGGACTAGATGACCTCTTGAGGTCCCTTCCAGTTCTATGATTCCTCTAAAGTATCAGGTACTGGTCCTGCCAGAGGCAGGATACGGGATGTGGTGGACCAGTGTTCTGATCCAGCAGGACAAACTTTGGGTTATCAGGTTCCTGCCTGATACTGACGTGCTGTGGGATGCACTAAGTGATGATGTTGTTACATATAATATGATGGTTGTGTATCTTGATGATAAACATATGTCCACACAGATGGCCTGTCCGGAAACATCCTCATACATAGTACACTGACCAAACACAGAACCATTTGTAAAGCATCCCCTTCAAAATCTGGTATTTCAAAATCTGGTATTGACCTGAATCTCTCCTGCCTTGGGATTTCATCTTGTAGCAAAGAAAAAAGAAATGTCCAAACCCAGCTAGCCCTGGTTTTGCCTTTAGGTGGGACACAAAAAGTGGAATTTTCAAAACTGCCTAAGTGAGTTGGGAGCCCAAGGGCGAGTGGTTTTGAAAACCTCCCGCAAAGAACATGGCTTTCCACCCAGTTTTCATACACACTGACATTTTTCAGAGAATTTTTCAGGTTCCAGTTTTTTGGCAAAATTTGATGGAAAAAAAGAGATTTTGGGGGAGAAATTTCCCCCCCAAATTTGATGAAAATGGAGATGGGGGGAATTTTCTCTCCAAAATCGATGAAACCAGACACTTTGGGAAAGGGAAAAATTTCCCCAATATTCGATTAAAACACCCTCCCCGCCCCGCCCCCTACCCATGGAAATTTCCATTTAGTTACAAAGCTATTTTGCATCACAAAAATATTTTGTGCAACATTTTCATCCCGCTCTGCTTTGGGCCTAGTTTTAGGGCCAGATTTTCCAGAGAAATATGCAGCTAACAGCTCTCCTGGAGAACAATGGCAGACCCTCCCTTCCACCCACACACCCACCTTGCTCTCAATGAGTGCCAAATACTTCTCAAAAGCGGCTCCTTTGTTCTGCTGCCTAACTGGGAGTTGAGCAATCTGGAAAACCTGGCTCTGAATATCCAGACGCTGCGTTTAAAGAAATTAAAACCTCCACGTTGATTTGTACGGTGCAGGAATGCAGACGTACAAGCTGCCACACCGTGCAGAAGCTGCCTGGATGCAAATAAAATGTGTTTCTGATAAAGTTTCTTGCTCGGACATTTACCGATCACGGGCTGGGAAATCAGATTTAGCATCGCGGCATTTGAACCAGTGACTTGGACAACAGCGCTTACCATTTTCAGACAGACTTCCGCTCGGGCTAGAACTGCTTAGCTGTCCACGGTGATCTGAGTTTCTCTTGGGTTTGCTCAGTGAACCAGGAAACTAAACCCACACTGGCTGGGGTAGTTTTCACTGCAGCCAAGTCAATGGGCCAGATTCTCTCTCATTGACACGAATGGAAACTCCACTGGGACAGATCCTCTGTTGACGTAACCCGGCAGGCATGGGTCCATTACACCAGCAGAGACGCTTGTGGCCCCGCTGACTTCAGGGGAATTACAGCTGATTGTCACTGGGATAAGAGAGTGGAGAATCAGGCCCACGAGCAGAAACTCCCTGATCTGCCCTCTCCCAGCTTGGTTTGGCCCCAGCTGAGAAACATCACGGGGGGCAGATTGATTGATTGCTAGGAAGCGACAGAGATGGACTCAGCTGCGGGTAGCAGTAGTTTGGGCAATCCCTGAAAAGCAGTGGCGGGATCTGTTCCGGTGGCACAGCCGGGGTACAGTCTTGCAAGAACCCTTGAGCAAGCGATACAGGAAACCTGTTTAAAGCTTCTGCAGGGCTAGGAGAAGTGGACCTCGTTCGGGCAGAAATTCACCCTTGTGCAGAGAGACCAGACCTCTCCTACGCCCTGCTGTGAGGGCGATAAATGGTGTATGGGCCTCGTGCTGGGTCCTCTGCACAGGGGTGAATTAGTTCCCCCCTGAGTGAGTTAAACAGGGGAAAGAGAAGTTGGCAGGTGAGACGCTGGCACGTGGAGTCAGCGAGATGAGCCAGCAGCTCCGTGCCAAGGACAGGGAGTGGCTGGAGAGCTGGCACGGGCAGAGGCAGCTTGCGGAGCAGGTATAAATCCCATAGTCCAAGTCAGGGCAGCGAGACCATTTCTGGAAGCCAGCGAGAGAGACGCCTGAGCACCACAGCACCAGCACTGGTGACAACTCTGACCACACAGATTTAAAATAAACAACAGGAAATGCTTCTTCACACAACACGCAGTCGACCTGTGGAACTCATTGCCAGAGGATGTTGTGAAGGCTACAAGTATCACTGAGTTCAAAAAAAGAACTAGATAAGTTCCTGGTGACTAGGTCCATCAATGGCTATTAGCCACGGTGGTCAGGGATGCAACCCCGTGCTCTGAGTGTCCCTAAGCCTCTGACTGACAGGGGATGGATCACTTGATAATTGCCCTGTTCTGTTCGTTCCCTTTGAATCACCTGGCATTGGCCACTGTCACTATCTGAATCTGGACCATATGGACCATTGGTCTGACCCAGTATGGTTCTCATGCTCTTATGTTAAGCTCTGCCCCCCACCCTGGCTAGAAATGGGGTCAGCAGGACTTATACAGGAGGCACCATGGTGTAGCAGCTCAGGTAGTGAATTATAATTCAGGACAGCTGAATTACAGCTGTAATGCCCCTTCTTCCACTGACCTGCTGTGTGACCTTGGGCCAACTCACTGCCAGCTGTGTGCCTCAGTTTCCCCTCCCACCCTATGTCTCTTTAGGCTGGAAGCTCTTTGTGGCCTGGGCTGTCTGTGCTGTGCCCAGTTTTCAGCCGTGACTTGTGGGTGCTACAGTTATAATAAATCCTACACATCAGACCACGTCCTGACAGCAGTTACACCCAGGCCACCCCACTGAAGTTACAGGTGATGCATTTGTTTATGTCACGGTCCCAGGGTGTCATCAGTCAGACACAGCTCTACTACAGGGAACAGCCCCGTCTGCACTAGAGGACTTTCTGCCCGTTCCCCTTGCAGAAGCCCAGGTAGGCCTTAGCAAATATTATATTGCACTGTCTCATTAACTCTTCCGAGACTCAGGTAAGTAGTGTCATGAACTGGGGCATGTGCAGTCACTGCTTTCTGCTGCTTAGAAGCACTATTGCTCATCTGCGTGTCAGAAGCCTTACACTGCCTACGGCTGAGGGGGAGTCCCCTGCAGCTAACATAGAGGGAGGCCTGGGTTTTTGGAGCTCGAGGGTCTGGATTCTAGCCCTGCTGATGCCCTGAATGTCCAAGTGCCCTCAACATGCAGGATGGAGACTTAGGGCTGGTCTACACGTGGGGGGGGGGGGCAGTGTCGATGTAAGATACGCAACTTCAGCTACGGGAATCGCGTAGCTGAAGTTGACGTATCTTATTTCGACTCACCTCCTGTCCTCACGGCGCGGGATTGACGGCCGCGGCTCCCCCGTCGACTCCGCTACCGCCATTCGCCCTGGTGGAGTTCCGGAGTCGACGGGAGCGCGTTCGGGGAGCGATATATCACATCTAGACGCGATAGATCGCTCCCCGAAAGAGCGATAGTCTGGATGTACCCTAAGGCCCAGATCCACAGAGGTATTCAGGCTCCCAACTCCCATTACAATTCATGGGAGTTAGGAGCCTAAATACTTCTGTGGGTTGAAATTCATGGCAGTTAGGAGCCTAAACACCTTTGTGGA